AAATCAAAATAGTGTTTGAAAGTTCCCCGTTTATTTATTTAGTAAACTGAAGGACAAAAGTATAAGTTTTTGCCAAAGATACAAGGCATCAAAATTTATGTTCTAATATTTGATGTGAGATTATCAATATTCATATTTTACAGGCTTTTAGTCACAGTTTTGAATGCAGTCCAGGCATGCAGTTTTCTAGCCATAGTTTTGCTACAATAAACGTATGTAGCTGTTAGGGTTATTCTGCCTTATAGACCCCCTGTTAAGTAGGAATCCCCCTTTTTTTTTCCCCCAGGTCCTCTCATCATAGTTTAACAAGACTATAGCTCTTATGAAAGGGAAGGGGTGAGACACAGTCTATAGTCATATATTCAATCCTTCATATGGATCAGCAGCTTCTTTTTGCTTTATGGTCACAGATGATGTGTATTCCCCAGTGACAGGCCATAGACTGTGGAAGTACTATTTGTTGCAAGCAGAACTAAAATGAGGTGAATCAAGTATAGCAAATGTATGGTACAAAGGCTTACACTGTCTCCTTCCATGTCTACATCAGACATCAATAACTGATCAAGCTACTCTTTTCCATTGAAGTTTTGGTGCTCTTAATAAAATTTTTCTGACAGTTACTACCAACTGACCAAAGTTAGATTATAAGTTAAAGTCCATTGTCAGCCCTATACAGAGGTTTTCCTATTATCAGAAGTCATGTTTTTTATGAAAAGAAAAAGTCATGTTTTTTATGTTATCTGTATTGATAAATAATACGTTATCGGGTTGCTTGGGTGGCTTAGTTGGTTAGACATCTGACACCTGATTTAGGTTTATTTATTTGAGAGAGAGAGAAAGAGAGGAGAGGAGGAGCAGAGAGAGAAGGAGAGAAAGAGAGAATCCTATGCAGGCTCCTCACTGCCAGCAAAGAGCCCTATGTAGGGCTAGAATCCTCAAACCGTGAGATCATGACCTGACTTGAAACCAGGAGTCAGAGGCTTAACTGGCTAAGCTACCTAGGCACCCCCCCTCCCCAACTCCTAATTTCAGCTCAGTTCATGATCTCAGTGTTTGTGAGATAGAGTCCCGCATCGGGCGTGCTGTCAGCATGGAGCCTGCTTGGGATTCTCTCTCTCCCTCTCTCTCTAAATAAATAAACTTTTAAAAAATGTTATCAATTTAATCTCATTAAAGCAAGCTATTTCAGTTATAGACAAACTGTCTGTATAATTGTTGAATAACACAGGAGATAGCGATGCCAACTCCCATACAGTTGAAAATCTGAGTATTAATTTTTACTCCCCCCAAACTTAACAACTAATAGCCTACTACTGAGCAGAAGCCTTGGCCAACAGTCCATTAATGCACATTTTGTATGTCATTTGTCATATGTATTGTATTCTTATAATAAACCTAGAGAAAAGAAAATATTAAGAAAATCATAAAAGAAAGAAAATACATTTAAGAATGAAAGGAAAATAAATTTACAGTGCTGTAAAAAAAAAATCAGCATGTAAGTAGACTGACACAGTTCAAACCCATGTTGTTCAAGGGTTAACTGTGACATGAAACATCTCAAATTGTTTAATGAGTCAGTAAAAAACTGGAATATACTGAGTCATCTTGTGCACAGCTCTAATAGTAAACTCTTCCTCTCCAGTACTACATAAATACTGAATGCCAACTTTGAGTAAGGTCCTGAAAGGAGGATGGAGATTTGGAAGAGAAGATAGTAAGATGTGATGTTTGCCCTCCAGAAGCTCATTATCCAGAGACAGAAACATATTCCTCACTAACTGTAATAATGGCTAATATTTCCTGAACATTTATATGCACGAGGGACTATTCAAAGCACTTTATATATACTAACTCATTTAATCTTCAGAACAACTATATGAAGTGGGTATTCATTATTTTAATCCAAGACAGACTGTTATTAATATTCCTAAAGAAAGAGTAATAATGGAGCTGCTTGGGTGGCACTATGAGCACGGAGCCCACATAGAATTCTCTCTCTCCCACTCTCTCTCTGTCCCTCCTCTGTGCTCTCTCTCACTCTCTCAAAAATAAATAAACATTAAAAAAAAAAGAAAGAGTAATTATGATGATTACTAGAGAAGTCTTTAGAGGGAGAAATGACATTTAAACTTGACATTCTTAATCTTAATTTTGTTTCTTGCAGGGTTTTCCTGTTAATAGGATGGGGCTATTCTCAAAGGAAAAGAGCACTGCATTAACAAATGCACAAAGCATAAAAAAAGAATGATGTATTCAGGTGTGAATAGGGTGGTACAGATTTTAGATGACTTTGAATGCAACATTAGGCATTTGGTCTTTACTAGGCAAAGGATGATAATAAGAATAATACTTTAAAAAACTTTTTTTTAACATTTTATTTTTTGAGAGACAGAAAGAGACAGAGTGTGAGCAGGGGAAGGGCAGAGAGAGAGGAGATAAGAATCCAAAGCAGGCTCCAGGATCCGAACTGTCAGCACACAGCCCCATGCAGGGTTTGAACCCACGGATGAGAGTCAGATGCTCAGCCAACTGAGCTACCCAGGTGCCCCAAGAATAATATTTTTAGGAAGAAAACACTGGTATCAGTGTTGAAGAGCAGAAAGGAGACAAAAAGATTAGGAGGCTATCACAAAAGTCATAAGGTAGTGTTTTCCTTTTCCTCTTCCTTCCTTCCTTTCTTGAGAAAGTGAGCACACAAGCAGGGGAGAGGGGCAGAGGGAGAGAAACGATCTTAAGCAGGCTCCATGCTCAGCATGGATCCCAACTTGGGGCTGGATCTCATGATCCTGAGATTGTGACATGATCCAAAATCAAGAGTCAGGTACTTAGGGGCGCCTGGGTGGCTCAGTTGGCTAGGTGTACAACTTTAGCTCAGGTCATGATCTCATGGTTCGTGGGTTCAAGCCCCACAGCAGGCTCTCTGCTGTCAGCACAGAGCCAGCTTTGGACCCTCTGTTTCCCTTTTTCTCTGCCCCTCCCCAACTCACACACTCTCTCTCTCTCTAAAATAAATAAACATTTAAAAAAAAAAAAAAAAAGAGTCAGATGCTTAACTGACTGAGCCACCCAGGCATCCATGGCAGTGTTTCTCAAACTAGGGATGATATGAAATCAGCTTAATGGGTTCTGACAAGCATTTTTTAAAAATAAAATCTTTAGAAACCTTATACTGGAGGACACCTGGGGGTCTCAGTTGGTTGAGCCTCTGATTTCTCATGGCTCTTGGGTTTGGGCCCTGTGTTGGGCTCGGTGCTGGTAGCTCAGAGCCTGGAGCCTGCTTTGGATTCTGTGTCTCCCTCTCTTTCTCTGCCTCTTCCCCACTCATGCTCTGTATCTCTCTCCTTCAAAAATAAGTAAACATTAAAAAAATTTAAAAACTTGAACTGGAACCTATGCTATAAGGGCAAACATTGCTTTACAAACCTATTTCACTTCATGTATGTATGTATATACTTGATATGTACATTCATATGAATATATATACTGAGTTATGAATTCAAATGTATTACTTAGTGTAAAAAAGTAGTAAAAAATGTTTGAAAATACAGTCTAAGGAGGAGAGAATGTGGGTCTTAAATAAAACTGTAACTTCTGGAAATGGGAAAGCAACAAATTATTTGAGAGCTCTCTCAGAGTAGAGTTAACAGGACTTAGTGATGAACTCAGATGTCTTAAGGGAAGTAAAGGAGGAGCATGGTAGATTAACTAATGCCCCATTGAAAGATACCTAGATCCTAATCCCTGGAACCTGCGAATGTTACCTTATATAGGAAAAAAAAGTACTTTGCAGATGTCATCAAGTTAGGGATCTTAGGGAGAATAGCCTTGATTATCCAGGTGTTCCCTAAATGTAATCATACATATCCTCTTAAGAAGGAGGCAGAGAGTGGTGCCTGGGTGGTTCAGTCAGTTGAGCATCTGACTTTGGTTCAGGTCATGATCTCACAGTTCATGAGTTCAAGCCCCACACTGGGCTTGCTGCTCTCAGTACATAGCCCAATTTGGATCTTCTGTCCCCCATCTCTCTCTGTCCCTCCCCTGCTCATGCTCTCTCTCAAAAATAAATTAAGAAATAATAATAAAAAGGAGGCAGAGAAATATGTGACACAGACAAAAGAGGAAAAGTCATTATGATCATAAAGGCAGAGATTAGACTGATGCCTTCACAAGCCGAGGAACGTGGCAGCGATCAGAATCTAGAAGAGACAAGGAAGGAACAGATTCTCTCCTAAAGCCTTCAGAGGCAGAGTGGCTTGGTCAAAACCTTGATTTTGGCCCACTGAAACCAATTTCAGACTTCTGGCCTCCAGCACTGTTTTTGTTCTTGCTGTTGTTTTTCCGAACTATTGTTTTAAGCCACCAAGTTTCAGCAAACATAGGAAACTAGCAGGAGTCAGAAGCCTTGGCAACTGGGATGGTGGCAACATCATTAACACCGATAAGGAACACAAGAAAAACGATGTTAAGGAATTAAAATTTAAATATAACAAGTATTAGGACACCTGTGTGGCTTAGTCAGTTAAGCCTCCAACTCTTGGTTTCAGCTCAGGGCATGATCTCACAGTTCATGGGTTCAAGCCCTGTGTCTGGCTCTGTGCTGATGGTGCAGAGACTGCTTGGGATTCTCTTGCTCTTTCTCTCTCTCTCTCTCAAAATAAATAAATAAACTTAAAAATAAATAAATACAATGTTCCAGAATACAACCTGAAACACAAGACAAATTTGAACAAAAGATATTTAATTAAAAAATCTAATTTTTCTATTTAATTCTAACTATAGCTTTAAATGCCTAAATGCCTCTAAAATGTTTAGGTCTTTTGTTCTCTCTGATTTTCTTTGGATAAACAAATTTAAGGCACACGGTTTATATATTTTCTCTGTCGTCTGACAATTACTGTGGTTAAAACAGGTGCTAGCTTCTGGGATTACATAGTGTTTCTAGAATGTTTATTACAATAATGAGAAAACCCAAGAACCATCTGTTACTGTATATCACTTACTTAAGCCATTGAGGTTGGCAATTTTTTCAATGCAGTTTGTAGACAGTGAAAGCTTCCTGAAAAAGAACAAAGGAAAACTTGAAAATGAAACAATTTTAAATGATATATCAGAAAAATAAATGGTGTATCAGAAATTATTCCTCAAGTGCCCATAGAAGATATTTAAGTCATACTTTCTTTTTACACTAAATCTTTTCCCCCTCAGACATGGCATGCATTCTTTCATTTTGAAATCCTCACACTTTTTTTTAGATTACAGAAGTTAATACAGAATCAGTGCAGAAAATTAAAAACTTTTTGATGGTAATTTGGTATTATTTATTAATTTTTTAAAAATGCATGTGTTCTTTGACCTAGTAATTCATTTCTAGGAATACTTTCTACTAAAATACTAACACAATGTCTAAAGATATGTAAGACAGATTATTTATTGTATTATTATAATAGCAAAAAATAGGGAAAAATCTATAAACATCCAGTAATTGAGGGATAGATATAATGAAAAACTACACTGTCACTAAAACAAATGAAATTAGGTTCTAGATACCAGCTTGGGAAGACATCCATGATATGTGGTCAAGTTAAAAAACCATCTCCCAGAACAAAACATTTGATGTGATTCACCCTTTTGATATAAAGCAGAGCTATATTACATGCATGTGTGAAGACATTTATCTGCTCATGTGTTAAATCATTCAGAAATGTATACCAAAAAATTAAAATCTAGTTTTGTTGCAAGAAAAGGAAACTGAGGCAGAGAGACTCAGCAGCATGGTTTAACTGCAGGACTTAATATAATTTATTCTCTCTCAACAATTCAATTTTTTGTTGTTATGAGATTTTGCTTTTCAAAAATAAATGGGATAAAAAAAAAAAAAGAAATGTATACCAAAAAAGCCATATGTAATCCTAACCACTCCACAAAGACCTCCAGAGATAACTACTTTTAATGGTTTATATACATTTGTCTAGGTTTTTTTCTACTCATAATTATATAAACATGTTTAAAGGGAGCATAACTACACATTCTTAGTCTTCGTTTCTTGACAAAATTTTTAATATTTCAGTACATTTCATGCAAAAAATATAATAAAAGCTAATTTTATTGAACACAATGTGTGCCCAGTATTCTTCTAAGTACTTTATATAAACTGGTTTTGTTTGTTTGTTTTTGACATAAACAGTTTTACCATCCCAGCAATCCTGTGAAATAAGTATTATTATTATCATCCATATTTTACAAGCAAGAATACTGAGGCACAAAGATGTTAAGCAATTTGCCCAATATTACACAGCCATAAAGGGGCAGAGTCAAATTTAAAACCCCCCAAAATTGACTCCAGAACATATGATCTTATCCTTTCTGATTTGACTTGAAAAAGAATTATTCATTTTTTTTACAAAAGCAGTTACTATAGTGTAAATTATTGATCAAATCTGTATATTTTCTAGCTATCCCCAATTCCTGACAACTACCAGTGAAAAATGAAGTGCCTTAAATCTGAGAATATGATTAGGGATGAAATCTTTAATTGTTGTCTAGGCAGCCTGTCCCAAGCGATTGTCAGCAAAAATATGAACAGGCTGACTCCTTCCAAGCAGTTCCACGATAATTTGGTACCAGGTACAAAACCTTCTCAAACATTTGCCTTTGAGACAGGTTTATGATAAAAAGATATTTGACCACTTTGAAACAGGGCTCTTTGAAATCATGCTTTTGAAGCCAGAAAAAAATCTAGAATGGATTTTTATATAATATAATATAATATAATATAATATAATATAATATACAGTGCTGTCATCATAAAGGACAAGTTGCATACAATAACTAAATATGTTTGCTTTTTCCTTTCATTCCAAAGACAGATAATAGTCTAATGCAGGGGTTCACAAATATGTGTATAAGAGTCACTCAAGCTGCTTATTATAAATACAGATTCCTAGGTTTCATCAGTAGATATTCTGTTTCTATACATTTGGGGTGGGGCTTAACTCCTGCATTAGGAGATCTTTATGTAGGTAGTGGTTAGTGCACTACCACTTAGAAAAGAGTGAAGAAATCAGGAAGAACCCCAAGTGATTCTATAACATTCTACAGCTCCAACAAAAGATACTGCAGCCTGAAAACATGGTCACAAGGTGTCATGGTATAATTGCCTCAAATTAGCCACAGAACCTTGCTAAAAAGGTATGTAGAGTATTGAGAAAATAACTTAAGAGGAATTAATATAGGGGCGCCTGGGTGGCTCAAGCAGTTAAGCATCTGACTCTTGATTTCGCCTCAGGTCATGATCTCCTGGTTTGAACATTACGTCAGGCTCTGCACTGACAGCACAGCACAGAGCCTGCTTGGGATTCTCCCCACCCCAACCTCCACTTGTGCTCTCTGTCTCAAAATAAATAAACTTTTTTTTTAAAAAGAGAAATTAATATAGATCTGATAAAGTCATGGGAAAATAGGATTACAAAGTAATAAGTATAATTTGATCACAATGAGGGAAAAAAATTCAAAGGCTCTATATCAAAATGCTAACATCGGTTATCAAAAGGTGGTGCAATTTTGGTTAATATTATGTCTTTTCCTTTGTGCTTTTTATATTTTCTAGATGTTTTAACATTATTTTTACAGTTAAAAAAAATTAAAGCAGATCTGTTAGGCCTCTAGTCAGTATAGCATTGACTGGCTAATTTTACAGGAGAAATACCAGATTTTATGATAGAATAAGTCTTATTGTGTTATTTAGTTTCTCCAAGAGACAGGCACATTATAAAAACTATACTGTAAAAAAAGTACTGTATGAGCACCTAGGTGGCTCAGTCAGTTGAGCATCCGACCTCAGCTCAGGTCATGATCTCACAGTTTGTAAGTTTGAGCCCCACATCAGACTCGCTGCTGTCAGCACAGAGCCTGCTTTGGATCCTCTGTCTCCCTCACGCACAGCCTTTCCCCTGCAAGCGCTCTCTATCTCAAAAATAAATAAACATTAAAAAAATACTATATTGTTCAGGGTTACTTTATTACTAGTCCCCCATAAACCAATAATCTTTTATGTTTGGCCTTGCCAAAGGGAGAATTCTATTAACCAAGCCAACAAAGAAAAAGAAACAAAGATCACAGAAAACAAACACATTTTTTCTAGTTTTTATATTTAAAAAAGAAAGGAAAAAAAGACAAGAGAACTTACTCGCAATTAGCAAGTGTGGACAAAGATGCATCCATCTTCTCTATAGGGGGAATCTGAGCATAAAGCTTTATCTCTTTGGCTTCAGATGGCTTCTGACTGGTTTTCTCTTCCTATGATGAAAATTAATTTGAAGAAAGTGATCCCTGATTGTAATACAGAACTAAGAGTCCAGAATTTTGCTAGGCTTTTCAATGTTTATTTCAAAACAATTATTAGAGCTTTATAACTCTGTGCATTCATTTAATGAGATTTGCTAACTAACCCTGATCACCAGGCTTTTACATGGCTTATTCAGATAATTTATTGTTAGGTTCCAACTGAATGGAAAGGAGGAGGAAAGAAAATAACTTATATTTATGTAATATTTAAAGTCCTGTAAGAATCTATCAATGAACAAAAACAAAACACAACAAACACCATTCTTAGGGAAGAATTCCTTGTCCCTAATCACCCTTTTCTTAAATATCAGATTTAGATCTGGAAGATCAACTATTTGGCATCTCTTCTTGCTTTTACTATATACGGTTCAGTCTGACATAGAACCCCAAAATACTAAGAATTTTAGAAGACACCATCTTTACAACACAGCTGAGGTCAAAGCTACTTGCTCTATAATTATTTACTACTAAATTCTAACTTAGAGGAGTGCCCGCATGGCTTGTAAGGTTGAGTGACCAACTCTGGATTTCAGCTCAGGTCGTGATCTCCCAGTTCATAAGGTTCTAGTCTGGAGTTGGGCTCTGTGCTGACAAGATCGGAGCCTGCTTGGGATTCTCTCTCCTCTCTCTCTGCCCCTCCCCAACTCACAAGCGGACATGTACTCTCTCTCTCAAAATAAATAAAATTTAAAAATTTTTTTTTAGTTTTTAAAAAGTTTATTTATTTTGAGAGAGACAGAGAGCAAGTGGGGGAGGGGCAAAGAGAGAGGGAGACAGAGGATCTGATACGGGCTCTGTGCTGACAGCAGAGAGCCCAGTGTAGGACTTGAACTCATAAACCATGAGATAATGAATCTGAGTCACCCAGGCACCCCTAAATAAACTTAAAAAAAAAAACAAAAACTTTAAAATAAATTCTACCACAGAGTTTAATTTCAGTACTATGTACACAATTTAAAATTTAATTATCAATATATGCTGCTTAATAATATTTTCTAAGTACCTCAATACTTAAAGTCAGTTCTCTCCAACAAAACAGGAAGCTCCTAAGGTGCAGGGACCATTTCCTTTGCTTGCCTATGTTTTCTATAACATAGTGCAATACAAGACACACAGAGGCTTATTTTTAAAATCAAATCATAAGATATCAATAGTAGAAAATATACAATCAGTTGAATAAAAGATCAAATACACATCCACTTGGCACTTACTTTTGAGCCATAAGTAGGCCCTCAATAAATGTTAGGTTAATCAGTGAAGGAGTAGGCTTAATGTCTTCAAATAATCTTAAAGTCAAAGATTTATGGTCACAATATGATCTAGAAATAGAACCTACCCAAACCAAAAAAGCAGCCACTTATCATAAGTAAATAAAGTCCTAAAATCTGATTCAAAGAAAATCTAATCCAATTACAAGCCTATTCCCTATGTACTTTTTTTCTTTAACACAACAAATTTGGGGTGCCTGGATGGCTCAGTTGGTTAGGTGTCCAACTCCTGATATCACCTCAGGTCTTGATCTCGGGGTCATGAGTTCAAGCCCTGCACTGGGCTCCATGCTGGGCACAGAGCCTACTTAAAATAACAACAAACAAACAAGCAAAACCCCAGATTTTTCGTTAACCAAACAGAAACAAATTTTTATTTTATTTATTTAAATGTTTATTTATTTTGAGAAAGACAGAGAGAGAGAGAGTACGAGCAAGCGTGAAGAAGGTTCAGTGAGATAAGAAGAAACAGAGTCCAATGCAGACTCTGAGCTTGTCAGCACAGAGCCCAATGTGGGGCTCAAACTCATAAACTGTGAGATTAAGACCTGAGCTGAAAGCAAGAGTTGATGCTTACCCAATTGAGTCACCCAGGCACCCCCAGAAATGTGGTTTTTAAATGCAGAGTACAAAGAAGCTTATAAGCACTAAAACAAGAATTCAAATCTGTTTTATTCTATCCACCCTATTTTCCCTAGACACCAAGTCTCCTGAAAGACTTTTTATTCAAAGCCCAGCTACAAAAGCAAAAGATGCAATATTATAAAAAAAACTATTGACAACATTGACAAAAAAGTTACACAGGGCATAGAAATTGAGGTGCCATCTCTATACTCTGTGGAAATTATATCTATAATGCTGAATTACAACTGTTCAAACATCTATAATGCTGAATTACAACTGTCCAAAACTTTATTAGAATGCTATATTCAAAATATTTATAGTTTATATTTAATGCATGTTTTTTACAATGCAGTTTCCTTTCTAATGTTAGTATATGCTTTAGGATGTTTTCCAGCTTTATTGACGTGTAACATTGTGTAAGTCTAAGGTGATGATTTGATACATGCATATATTGCAAAATGATTAACATAGTAAGGTTAGCTAACACATCTATCACCTCACATAATTTTTTCTTTTAGTGCTGAGAACATTTAAGATCTACTCTCTTAGCAACTTTCAAGTATATAATACAATATTATTAACAATAGTCACCATGCGGTACGTTAGATGCCCAGAACTTGTCTTAACAACTAGAAGTTTGTACCCTTTAACCAACATCTCCCCAAGTTCCCCCCGCCAGCAGTCAGCTTTTCTATTTTTTGTTTCTGTGAGTTTAGTTTTTTTAGATTCCACATATGAGTGAGATCATAGAGTATGTCTTTCTCTGTCTGACTTATGTCACTTAGCATAATGCACTCAAGGTCAACATGTCTGACTTATGTCACTTAGCATAATGCACTCAAGGTCCATCCATGTTGTCTTAAATGGCAGGATTTCCTTCTTTTTTGTGACTAATATTCCATTCTATATTTATATCTATATGTATAGATATAGATATATATATACACATTTTTTTATCCATTTATCCACTGATAGACATTTAGGATATTGATAACCATATAACCCACTGATTTTAATCAGATTTTCCCAATTTTACTAGTATTTACTTATACACAAGTATAAGTGTGTTTGTATGTGTGTATTAAGGGGATGCAATTTTATTTGTGTAGGTTCATATACCCATGACCACATCAAAATAGGTAAACAGCTCCAGTACCACAAAGATTCCTTGTATTGAATGATCAGATTTAAATAACTATCAAAAAACTCTCCTGCATGGTCTCTAGAAGAGGTAAAAATTCATATACTCACCCATCTGGCTAGAGCTTCTTTGATTGTTGTTGCTTTTGCCTTAAAAAAAAAAAAAAAGAAAAGAAACCAGAGTGTTTTTATTGGTATGATTTGTTGATTCAACTTTTATGCAGTAATTATTAGTCTTGGCATCTACTATTGAAAAGACTAACTTCCTTCTTTGAGACTTTATATGCAAACAAATAACATGTGTTTTAATTTCCCGAAGTCAGAATGATTTATTTAAATACCTCTCAGAGGGGTGCCTGGGTGGCTCAGCGTCTGACCTCAGTTAAGGTCATGATCTCATGGTTTGTGGGTTCAAGCCCTGCACTGGGCTCTATGCTAACAGCTCAGAGACTGGGGCCTGCTTTGGATTCTATGTCTCCTTTTCTCTCTCTCTCTCTCAAAAATAAATAAATAAACATTAAAAAAAATACCTCTCAGGGGGCACCTGGGTGGCTCAGTTGGTTAAGCATCTGACTTCAGCTCAGGTCATGATCTCACAGTTCGTGGGTTCGAGCCACGAACATCGGGCTCTGTGCTGGCAGCTAGCTCAGAACCTGTAGCCTGTTTCAGATTGTGTGTCTCCCTCTCTCTCTGACTCTCCCCTGCTCATGCTGTCTCTCTCTCAGAAATAAATAAAACATTAAAAAAATTTTTTTTAAATAAAATAAAATAAAAAATTTAAAAAAAAACCCTCTCAGATAAATTAAGGAAGTCATGGTATAATGCCCATATACTTCACTCCACTTGGTTCACAAAAAATATATACCTTTTAACATTTGATATTAAAATATATCTTATTTCATTAATTCTAAGATCTGCATCTTTTACATTTTAACGTCTTTGAAATCTGGATTCATTTTACAACCAGGAACAATTTACAATTACTGTGGCCAGGTGACAGTGGAAAATATCTAGAAAAAGTGGAACCATTTTATTTCATATACTTATATTCCTTTTTATGTTTGCAGAGAAAGATATATGATAAAAACTTACATGCCCAAATACATGTAATTTAAAAAAATTTTTAATGTTTATTTATTCATCTTTGAGAGAGAGAGCACAACTAGGGGAGGGGCCAACCAAGAGAGGGAGACCCAGAATCCGAAGCAGGCTTCAGCCTCTGAGCTGTCAGCACAGAGCCAGATGGAGGGATCGAACTCACAAACTGTGAGATCATGACCTGAGCTGAAGTTGGACGCTTAATCAACTGAGCCATCCAGGTGCTCCCCAAATACATTTAAAAGAACTCTGTCAGTAAGTACAACATAAAAATTCTAAGTGAAAAGAAATTATCTGTCAGGATTTAATTACAATTTCTTATTTTTCTTTCTTAGAACATAAAATAATGCTGTACTTTATAATCAATAGTATCTTAGATTCAATTTAATATGACACAACTTTAAATGTAAGAAAAGGAAGACATCCTTTGAATTATTGCTCGAGCTCATTAAAAAAAAAAAATCCTAAACAATAACAAAAGGAAAACTGTTAAAGTATAGTTGACCCTCAAACAATATGAGCATTAGGGACACCAACCTCTCTCCCGTGAACAGTCAAAGATCTTAGTATAACCTTTGACTCCCCCAAAACTTTACTAACAGCCTACTGTTGACCAGAAGCTTTACCAAAAACATAAACAGTGGATTAGCACATATTTTGTATGTCATATGTATTATATACTATATTTTGACACTAAAGCAAGCTAGAGAAAAGAAAATGTTATTAAGAAAATCATAAGGAAGAGAAAATACATTTATAGTACTAAAGTGTACTCAACTGAAAAAAATCTGCATAAGTGCAGTTCAAACCTGTGTTGCTCAACATGTATATGCTCACAATGGCATATACATGCTATTATGTTTAGAAAGTAAAGACACGGTAATAAATAGCCCTTGGGTTAGAGAGTAAACTATAAATTAAAGTAAAACAATAAAAGACAAAAATATTAAAATTTAAGGAATATAACACTTAAAAGGAGACTTAAAGCTTCAAAGAAATTTATTAAAAAAGAAGAGAAAACATTGAGGAGGGCAATTGTTGGGATAAGCACTGGGTATTGCATGTAAGTGATGAATCATGGGCCTCTACCCCAAAACCTAGAGCACACTGCACACACTGTATGTTACCCAATTTGACAATAAATTATATTTTAAAAATAAGAGAAAAATAAGAGACAGAGAACAAATAAGCTAAGCATTCAAGACGTTTGAGAAAGCACATCATTGCAAACACAAAGAAGGCTGAAAGAAATACAAAAGAAGTTGATGAAAATAGACCAGAGGAAAAAAGATTGACAAAACTAAGAGTTGGTTCCTAAATCTCTAGCAAGCCTAATTGAGAAAAAGACAGCTATATAACAAAAATACAGAATCGGAGGAAGTAATATAGATATCATAAAGATTTAAAAATAAAATATTGGGGCACTTGGGTGGCTCAAAGCAGGCTCTGTGCTGACGGTAGCGAGCCTGATATGAAGCTTGAGCCCACGAACCATGAGATCAGACCTGAGCCGAAATCAGAAGCTCAACTGACTGAGCCACCCAGGCGTCCCTTATTTATTTATCTTTTAATGTTTATTTATTTTGAGAGAGAGTATGTGAGTGGAGAAGGGGCAGAGACGGAGGGAGAGAGAATCCCAAGCAGGCCCATGCTGTCAGCTTGGAGCCAGACTTGAGCTCCTCTGTCCCCCTCTCTCTACCCCTCCCCAGCTTGCGCTCTCTCAAAAATAAACAAACATTTTTAATAAACAAATAAATAAAGTAAAAATAAAATATTTTAAGCAAATATATGGTCATAAGTTTGAAAACCTAGACAAAGAATGAGCTTTTATTAAAAAACACAAAAGTGCCAAACTGTCACAGGAAGTATCAGAAAACCTGAATAGGCCAATAACTATTTTATTTTATTTTTTAATGTTTATTTTTGAAAGAGAGAGACAGAGCACGAGTGAGGGAGAGGCAGAGAGAGAGAGGGAGACACAGAATCTCAAGCAGGCTCCAGGCTCTGAGCTGTCAGCCCAGAGCCCGACTAGGGCTCAAACCCACGAACCATGGGATCATGACCTGAGTCAAAGTTGAATGCTTAAATGACTGAGCCACCAAGGCGCCCCTGGCCAATAACTATTTTTAAACGTTAAAAAGACAATCAGAGGGGCACCTGGGTGGCTCAGTTGGGTAAGTATCCGACTTCAGCTCAGATTGTGATCTCCCAGTTCAGGAGTTCAGGCCTTGCATCAGGCTCTGTAGTGACAGCTGAGAGCCTGGAGCCTGCTTCAGATTCTGTGTCTCCCTCTCTCTCTGCCCCTCCCCTGCTTGTGCTTTGTCACGCTCTCAAAAATAAATAAAAACATTAAAAAATGAAAAAAAAAGATAATCAGAGATTTACCTTCATTCTCTTCTCCTAAAGCTCCAAGCCTGGATAATTTTACAAGTAAATTCTGCCAAGTTTTCAAGAAACAGATATTCCCTGTTAAACAAGTTGCTTCAGAAACCAGAAAAAGAGGCAAAACTGCCAATTTATTTTATGAGGCTAGAATAACCTTGATGCCACAACCAGATAAGCAGCCTTCTTTACTTTTTAGTATATACTTGAAAATCCTATATACAACATTAGATCTCCAAAGCCAATGATGAATAGTAATCATGATCAAGAATAGCTAATACCAGGAACATAAGGAATGTTTAACAACAAAAAAGGCTTTATCTAAATAATTTACTAAGAGTTAAAGGGAAATTCACTATTTGATAAAAGCTACATACCAACACCTATAGCAAATTCCATACTTAATGGAGAAATTCATTCATTTTAGCAAATATTTATTGTCTACTATGTACCAAACATTCTTTTACATGCTTAGGACATATCAAGAAACAAAACAAAGATCCTGCCTTCATGAAACTTATATCTATTGGCAGGAAACAGATGAAAAATAATATATTTCATAAATAAATAAATTATACAGTATATTAGAAAGTGACAATTACTAAGGAAAAAGAAAAAGCTGAACTTGGTAAGAGGTATCAGGATGTGTGTATGTGTGTATAGAGTATGTTTATTTTATTTTTTTAGAAGTTTATTTTTGAGAGAGAGAAAGAGAGAGAGAGAGGACATGGCAGAGGGGTAGAAAGAAAGGGAGAGAGAAGATCTGAAGCAAACTCCACACTGACAGCAGAGAGCCTGATGTGGGGCTTGAACTCACAAACTGTGAGAGATCATGACCTGAGCCAAAGTTGGCCACTTAACTAACCAAGGCCCTCAGGAGCCCCTAGAGTATATTTATTTTATTTTTTCTTCTTCTTTCTTTCTTTGTTAAAAATTTTTTAAAGTTTTATTTTATTATTGAGACAGAGAGAAACAGAGCATGAGTAGGGAAAGGGCAGAGAGGGAGACACAGAATCCAAAACAGGCTCCAGGCTCTGAGCTGTCAGCACAGAGCCGGATGCGGGGCTTGAACCCACGAACCGTGAGGTCGTGACCTGAGCCAAAGTCAGACACCTAACCAACTGAGCCACCCAGGCGCCCCAAGTATGTTTATTTTAAATAAGATGGTTAAGAAAGGCCACACTGGAAAGATAATGTTAAAAGTACTCTCAAAAAGTATATAATCAGAGGAGGGGGGCCAAGATGGCAGAGCAGCATGGAAGTTCTTTGCTTCTCTCATCCTTGAAATGCAACTAGATCAGCATCAAACCATTTTGCACACCTAGAAAACTGATCTGAGGATTGACACAGCAATCTGCCTAACCTGAGCCACGGAACTCGGCAGGTATGTGCCATGGAGAGGTAAACTGGGGGAGAGAGAAGCTGTGGAGGGTAAAGAGTGGTATTTGCAGAGAGGACAGAGAAGTGGGGGGGGGGGAAGAGTACAGGAAAAGCAATCCCCCTGAAAGTAGCTGGAGAGAAAGAGAAAGAGGGGAAGTACCCACAAGTGCCTAAACAAGTAAGGGAGAAAGGAGAGGGTTTCAATATCATTAGGATTCTATAAACAGGGTATAGCAGCTTCAGAAATTCTGCAGCCCAATACTGGTGGTGCTCTGGTGGGAAGGGCAAAT